GAACTCCACTGGATGTGGAGCCTACCTTAAAAAGAAAAGAAAACAAAGTGCCCAGGATGAGGCCTGACACAAAGAAAGCACCCAACACTTGACGAACAATAGCATGAACATCATATAAATATGAATGATTCATTCTTTGGGGACTCGGCATTTCTTGTCCACAAGGCAAATATGGCTGAAGTCCGTGAACAGCCTTAGCAGGAGTGACTCGACAGCCAGGCTGACCACAGAATGAGGACAGGATGCTGGCAGGTGGAGAGGGGAGGAAGCGGGAGCCACCAAGGACCTACCCGGGGCCAGAGCCAGCCACGTGACTCGGGGCCTTCTCCCATGGAATGGCACTTTATACATCCTCAGAATCCAAACAGGATCCCCCACGCTCTCCTCCAGGATGCTGCTTCCTAACATCCCAACCAACCCAACCTTCAGAGGCAGGTGTTCGGAGACCTGACCCCTTTCACGCCACCAGAGGCTGGAGGAAATGAAACCACCGAGGACAAAGCCGGAGCGGGCACCGTGCTCGGTCTCCTCCCACTCTCTCGCTTTTGTTTGTTTTCAGCTTTTGTCTGGGCAGCGAGTGTTGGTGTGGCCTTGGTCACCACAGCTGTCACAGTCATTTTCTTCATTTCCCCAACATCCACTCTGGGCACGGTGGCCTGCCCTGCTGTGTCCTTTGAGGCACAATGGATTTCCTTTATTGCTTTTTAATGCATGGCCTCCCATCAACCATGTGCTTAATAAAATATGGATGGATGAAGAAGGTACTGACAGCGGAGAAGAAATCTACGAAAGGTTATAGGAGCGAGATGCTGTGGGGCATCCTTTATCCTGCTCAGCGGGTAAGCTGGAAGGTGGTCCCTGATAGAGCCCAGCAGACCACGTGTCTGCCTTCCTCCAAATATCCAGTGAAGGGGGATTTAATGACAAGAGACAAAAGTTACTGCACCTACACCACAGTCCCTGAAGACCCCAACTGATGTCCTATCATTATTTGAAATAATTAAACAAGTAAAGATAGAACTTTCAGTCTTTACAATCTTATCTTTGAAACAAACAAACAAAAAAACCCAAAAAACCAATATTGACTTTTCCATTTGCCCAGGAGCATTCTAGAGAAACCCATAAACAATCAATGATGCCAAGTGTTAAAATCCATTCCGCTCCTGCACTCGGCAGTCACTCATGGGTCAAGGTCAGGTGTCTCCTGCCCACGACCACTCTCCATGCCACCCCCAGGACTGGAAACCACTTCCATTCCCTTTTCACACGGACACCTAAGCTCACTTCCCCTGTGGGTACAGGATGAGCCCAGAAATTCCATGGAATATGTGTTCCCATGAGCACAGAAATTTGATGATCTCAGAGGTACTGTAAAGAAAGACCCCTGACACTTCCCTAAGGAAGAATGTCTTCTGTAAAAGGCGACTGCCAGGCCCAAAATGTGCTGGGAAAATCCACGGCCTGCTGCTGCGTATGTTTCCAATTCTGATGTCCCACTTCCTCCTTATAATCACATTCCTTTCCTCCGTATTTCTCTTCTAAAAAGACACTCTGGCATTGGGTCTCCAAAGTGTGCTATTCTATGAAAGGCTGTAATATAAAAAGAGCTAAAATGGATTTCGATAAATATGAAATGCTTAGACACTATGTAAGATCTATTCCATTCCACCCACTTTTAAATGTTTCCAAAAAGAACTTATTTTTAAATGTTGGCAGCCTAACTTCTTAAAAATAAAGTTGCCTTCGCTTAAAGCTTATTCGCACAGGCCATCACACAGCATAAAGCTTTTTAGCAAATACACTTTTAAGAGTTGTGACGTAACTAACTGTGACTTCCAAACCTATCTCAGGGGTTTCTCTCTTTTTTTTTTAAGATTTTATTTATTTATTTGACAGAGAGAAAGAGAGAACACGGCAGAGGAAGGGGCAGAGGGAAAGGGAGAAGCTGCAGGGAGCTCACCATGGGGCTGAATCCCAGGACCCTGGGATCATGACCTAAGCCAAAAACAGATGCTTAACCGACTGAGCCACCCAGGCGTCCCCAGAGAGGTTTCTGAAAGGATCGAATATGGTAATACTCGGGAAAGTGGTAAGAAATTTGCAAAAGGCCAATCAAATAGATATTCAAGCTGCTGTTATTCCAGTTTTTTTTAAAGATACCATACCATACAGCATTTACTTAAAAAGAATATGGACTTTGGAATCAGAGATGGGAGTTCCAATTTCACCTCCAACATTTACTAGTTACCTACACAAGTAGGGTGTTAAGAGGCAAGCTGGTAAACTCCCTCAGCCTCGCTTCAACTGTCAAGTGGATATAATACCCACTTTAGCAAGTTGTGAGGATTCCTACAGTAATGTATGCAAAACCCATTATACATAGTAAACACTTACTAAATGATAGTGACAATTATTGTTAGGCTATTTAATGAAAATCCAAATATCCAGCTATTAAAAAATAGGAGAAAGGAGGGGGGAAGAGGGAAGAACCTCACCCAAAGGGGGGACAAATGCTAAAAACATGGATCTCACACTCTGAGGATCCCTTCTTCGCCAAACCACTCCTACCCCCCACTCCTTCCCCACTGAGGTCAGAAGCTCCTCTTTGCTTTGCATAACTGTGCAGCAACCCGGGAGAGTGAGTCTTTAACACCAGGCTTGACAAAGTGATGATTCATCCCAACCCATGAAGGGGGTGCAGCCAGTAGTCAGCCTCACCACACAATGGGAGACCCACGGGGAGAGCCTGTGGCCAGAGACAAGCTATGTAAGAGAACCCCCCCACCCCCACCTCTGTGTCTCCAGGAGCAGTTAACACAGTCTCGGGCTTCCTTGTTGTTAATGTATATTCCGATGAGTAGCTGGGAGGAATCCAACTGTGCTATATTTTACAAAACAATTCACAACATAAATGAAAAGTCCAAAATGGCAACAACAACAATAACGAAGTCTCCCTCTGTTCCCTCTGTTTGCTGCCTGTGGCACCATGTTTTGCTAGGCAGTGTGTTAGTTATAACAACAAACAGCTTGATGGTTGGACAACATCCCACTTCAACTTCACAGCATAATGGCTCCTGAGGACAAGTCCCACTGCTTCTCAGCCTGGCCTGAAAATGTAACCGCATCCCCCACGAAAAAAGACAAACCCTCAGCAGCAGCTTTATACAGCTCTTTTCCATTACCACTTCGTGGGCAGGAAACATTTTTTCCCCCTGGAGTAAGCTCCTAATTCCCCTTCTAAGGTTAAGAGGCTTTCAGACTTGGTTGTCTTAAATTGAATGCCCAGTGGGGCGGTTTAACCGTGGGTCCTCAGAGTTGTCAAAGAGGAAGCGCTGGGTCATCTGCCACCCCTGCCTGCAGCCAGACGACTAGAACTGGATGTCTCCTCAATTATCACCACAGTAATTCGAACCTTCGGTCCGACTTTGGGATCCTTCCACCAGTGTCCCATAGGCACAAACCATGAATGCCTGGAAATGTCAGCCTCCTCCCCAAACTGTTTCTCTTGGAATATCCCATTCAAAGACACTCATCATTCAATCCCCCTGGCTCCCTCCCCGGGTCAACCCTTCCTCCTGGGTTTCTTGATTCCAATCTAGAAAAGGGTCACTCAACAAATGTCCACCATATTACATTTAATTCTACCTCCCCCTAAAAAAAAAAAATTCCCATTGACCATAATGGTATGAGTTCTCTTTCTTATTCCGGGTGGCCCACACTAGGGAGTGAAAGCACAGAAGCAGTGGGTCTTCAACTCAAACTCCGGACATTGGGGTGTGTGGGGTGTGTTTTCTGAGAAAACCTGCAAAAGGGTTTTTCAACTCAGTGTTACATAATCTGATTCATTTATTTAGCAATGTCTAATTTTATAGCGGTTTCCCCTCAAACATTCCCGGAAAATTGTTAAACTATATTACAATGGAGAAAATTATTTTATGTCAAAATCAATTCTATAAAATTTGCCTCCTACCCATTCAAGCCAATATCCACTAGCTACACACACAGGTCCACGGGCACACAAATACCCTGATCCCTAACAAGAACAAAAACAAACAAAAGTCTTCTTCCAAAGTAACTAAGATTTGACTTCAGCAAACTAACCCTGGGAGCGCCTAGAACTCAAGGAAGTGCACAACTTATTACGGCAATAAACGCTCGGCCGGTCTGAACAAAGCATTACAAAGGAGCTCCAGAAACCCACACGGCCCGTGGACAAAATGTTGCGTGTTGGCAATGAATTCTCCAATGCACTCTCATCAACCCCTTCCCAACCCTCTTCCCAGCCCCAGCAAGCACCCTCCAGGACTCCGGTTCCTAATCTGGTTTTCATTCCGGCCCCGCTCCCTCCCCTTCTCTCCCAACGACCGTGAATCAATCCCATCCCGGGCAGGAAACGAGACCCAGGGCAGCCCCCTCCGCCGCGGCGGAACAAAGGAGCACAGCGCAGCTGCACGCGCGGGACGCCCCATCGGGTGCTGGACCCCCTCTCCGCTGCCGCCGCCGCCGCCGGGGCACGCCGCACCTGAACCCCACTCCCCAGGACGCCCCATTGTTCTCCCTACGCTTTCCTTCCCTGAGGCGGCCACTCCGTGCCCTCCATAGAACCAGGGGGCCAGGAAACAGCTGTGGGCCAGAGAAAAGGAGGGGGTGTGGGTGAGAACGAGGAAGATCTGGGTTCCACTTTGCCCACAGGTACAAGGAGGATGGCGCAAAGTAAGAGCAACTTAGTTTACAATCCTTCTTCTCCCCACCCGCCCCCGAAGCAACTGCGGAGTCACGACCACCCCGCGCGACCTCCAGCGTGCGCGGGTTCTCGCCGCAGCGCCGCCGCGCCCGGAGGAGCGCGCCTCAGCCCCCGCTGCCCCGTGCCCCGCGGGCTGCGGCGGGGCCACGGGCACCTCGGGCACAAAGGCACGAGGCGCCCGCTCTACTGCCCCTGGCGGGCCGCGGCCGGAGCGAGCGGACAGGGCAGGGGAGAGGGGGGAAAGCGCTCGCGCTACCTCGCCGGGCGCCGCTCCGCCTCCTGGTCGTCCTCGCGCTCCCGGACGCGGGCCCACCGCGAAGCTGCGGAGCTCCCGCGGCGGCTGCTCGACGGAGGCTGCTGCGCGGACGCTGTCCCGCGGCTGCCGGCCCTCTGCGCGCCCCGCGCTCCCACACCGCCTCCACGCGCCGCGGCTGGGCTCCGGTGCGCGCCCGACTGCGGAGTGCTGGGCGCCTGCGGAGAGCTCGGCGGCGGCGGGAGGCGTGCGGCCACTCCCCTCTCCCCCGCAGACGGAGGGGCTGGCCGAGGGGCGGGGGCGGCGACCTCGCCGCCTGGGATTCGCCCCTCCGCGCACGGGCAGGACCCGGAGCCACCGCCTCCGAGCCGACTCACCTCCGGGCGCCCGGTGCCGGCTGCACAGCGCCCCCCGGTGAGCGCGAGCGGCAGCCTGCGCACCCGAGGGCTAGCCTAGATGGGGCCAGGAACGGAAGAGAAGAAAGAAAGGGGAGGCGTCCTCGCTCAGCACCCACGGAGAGAGCACGGCCCTTATACCTGTTTTACTCCTGAATTTACTGACATCAAACAAGAAATGTAATAACTGGGAAGGGGGGACAACTAGGCGGCAGCCTGGGGGCGAATGCCAGCAAAGACTGGGAGTGTTCTCAATTGCTCCTTCTGCCCTAGATGAAAAAGTTCGGCTACCCAAGAATATCAGAAAGGATTAATTTGACCGAAAGAGAAAGGAATTGTATTGAGTAGCAAAGTATCCTTTTACTTACAAGGTTTTTAATATCTCACATTATGCTCAGTAGAAACTGGCCAATTCTCTGCTACAAAAAAAATACAAGATAGATAAAAGGAATTTTAAATACCCATATGTATCTGAAAATAGGGCATCCATGGCCACTGGGTAATGATCAATGATGGGGTATTAGTCCGCATATTATTTAAGCATGTTGGAGGGACCAGAGAGTCAGAACCTCCAGCTTCTCACTCCAGCCTGCCTCTTGCCTCCTGGTGCAATTTAGAACAAGCCACTTGACCCAGGTCCCGGTTTCCTCATCCCGGGGGAGGGCAGGGTGCTCCTCCAACCTTACTCACTGGGTGAGGTGAGGATTACTTGGCTAAGGTGTTCAAAGCAATGTGGGCACAGTAATTATTACTCATGATTCTAACTACTTTATCCTGTAATGAAATAAATTGCCATAAATGGGGCCAGGTTTAAATGGACTGACCTATATCTGGAAACTGTCACTAAAATGAGGTGAACCAAAGAATTCATACCATATATAGTAACTCTGTTCCCAGAGGCATAAGAACCACAGGCACTGGGATTTGTCAAATGTCACCAGTAGAGTTTGGAAAGGTGGCAATTGCCCAGACTCTATCGGCTTAGAAGTGTATCATCACTGATGACACTATCTGCATCAAGTCAGATCCGCGGAAGACATGATAATGGGGTAAAGCTAAGGTATATTGAGTATCAGGTACTGTTCCATTCTTGTTTAATCCTCACCAAAACCTGACGTAGGTTTCTTTCTTGCTCTTATTTTATGGGCAAGGAAAGCCAAAACCAGAGAGGTCTTCCAGCTAATACGTGGCAATGGTGGTTTGAAGATAAGTCCACAAATTCTTTGACACTCCTCCCATTAAAGAGTGGAGTCTGATTGCCTTCCTCTTGAATATGGCTGAACTTAGTGGCTTGATTCTAATGAATAGAACGCAGCAGGAGCGATGCTGTATGACTTCTGATTCTAGGTGGTAAAAGGAGCTACAGCTCTCAAACCTGGCCCTCTCTTGGAGCACTCACCCTTGGATCGTGGCTGCCATGCGATGAGGAAGCTCAGTCTACATGCAAGGTCAGGGCTAGATGTTCCAGCGGATGGTGCCAACTGAGAACCCAGCCTACAGCCGGATATGTGAGCTCCTAAGGCTTTGGGATGACCCCAGCCCCAGTCACTGACTGACCACAGTGCATAAGAGACCTGGAGAGAGGGCGCCTGGGTGGCTCAGTTGGTTAAGCGACTGCCTTCGGCTCAGGTCATGATCCTGGAGTCCCGGGATCGAGTCCCGCATCGGGCTCCCTGCTCAGTGGGGGGTTTGCTTCTCCCTCTGACCCTCCTCCCTCTCATGCTGTCTCTCATTCTCGCTCTCAAATAAATAAAATCTTTTAAAAAAAAAAAAAAGAGAGAGACCTGGAGAGAAACCCTAACTGAACCTCGTCAGTGCCCAGAATCAGGAGCACAACAATATTGAGAGATTGTCTTTGGAGGGGTCGTTACATAGCAGCTGACCCTGGGAACAGTGGCAGAGATGGGATTTGAACCCAGGCAGTCTGACTCCACAGTCTCCACCACAGTCACACTGCCTCGGACGGACCTTGCTAACCTAGACTGATGCACACCAGCCTTCCCAACAGTGTATGGACCTGCTACCCGATGACACATTTAGACTCACTTTTCCATTTTGCCCGTCTGATTTCTGGTTCCAAACAGGTTACTTATAGCAGCTTGGCAATAAGGAAGCCTCTGACCTCTCTATCTGGTCCAGCTTTCCAAAAAATAACAAGTTCAAATGGCAGGTTCACAAATACCAAATGTAAACAAATGGTTTGAAAGAGTGGGGGAAATCTATCATCTTATCATCTTTGAATAGGGCCAAGTTTTCTTAAAAAGTAGGTTTGGAACAAGTATGTGCTGTTAGGACTCCTGAGAAAGCTACACTTAGGAAGATTTTGGAGCTCCTGCCCAAGGAAAAGATAGGGAATTTAGTTATGTGGAAACAATTCTGCCTCTAGAAGGATCTAGCTCTCTCTCCCTGGTTTTCAGCAAATTCAGAAAGGAAAATATTAGAAACTGTTGAACTCATCCTAATAATCACTGAGAAAATGAACCAAGAAGCTATTAGAAAGCCAAAAGTCTTTCTAGAGCAAAGTTCTGCTTCTCTTTCAAAAACACCATTAACCTAGTTTTCATAAATCTCAAAATCCAAACTCCTGAAGACATACCATGAGGTTTTTAAATACTTTTTACCTTCTTGGCTATTCTTTTCAAAAGTCAATCAATCAACAACTTTTGAATTTAAGAGAAGCAGATTACAGTTCTAGTAACTGTCAAGAATGGGTAATAAATCCACCAACTACAAAAGCATTTTTTACTTTCCTATCAGTCTATTTAAAGGAAGCAGAACATATGAAGAAGCAGAAAGACTATTATTATGATTTTAGGGTGAAAAACATACATTTTCATATTACAGGAGTGAAAAGAATATAAGAAGTATACTTTAGGTCAATGAAAACATGCAATGATTTAAATTAAAACAAAAGAAATCCTGCAATCCTTGTGGGAAAATGTAGATATAAAAGTACATTTGTGGGGCGCCTGAGTGGCTCAGTCATTAAGCGTCTGCCTTCGGCTCAGGTCATGATCCCAGGATCCTGGGATCGAGCCCCACATCGGGCTCTCTGCTCGGCAGGAGGCCTGCTTCACCCTCTTCCATTCCCCCCTGCTTGTATTCCCTCTCTCGCTGTCTCTCTCTCTGTCAAAATAAATAAATAAAATCTTTAAAAAAAAAAAAAAAAGTACATTTGTGTGTTCCCAGGAAGAGAATTACCACTAAATGTGTAGGGTTTGTTGTTTTTCTTTTATCTTAGGTGTTTTTAACTTGAGCCCTTTTTATTTTATTTTATTTTTTTTATCTTATTTTATTTTATTTGACAGAGAGAGCAAGAGAGCACAAGCAGGGCGAGCAATAGAGGGAGAGGGAGAAGCAGGCTCCCCGCCAAACAGGGAGCCCGATGCGGGGCTCGATCCCAGGACCCTCGGATCACGACCTGAGTGAAAGGCAGACACTTAACTCTCTGCGCCACTGAGGCATCCCTACTTGAGCCTTTCTTTAAAAAATTTTTTTTAATTCAACTTTGGGGGAAATAAACCACAAAAGGCCCACACGACCTGCTTCTACCTCATTTTGGTGTAGCAAAAGAAATAATGAGCCAGAAGTCATAATTTTATGTGTTCTCACTGGCCCCATCTACAGCTAAATTTAGAATTTTAACCAGAAGGCTCAAGCTGTCTGTCCTTAGTTATTTTACACCATCTTTAAGGGCCTCCAGTTCTAAAAAAATCTAAGTCTTTGTTTTGGCCATCTTCTCTCTCATCTACCTACCCAAACACTTAGTTTTCACCCACTTTACTTATCCTTTGAGACCAAACTCAGTTCTCACCTATTCATGACCCTCTTCTTTTTTTTTTTTTTTAAAGATTTTATTTATTTATTTGACAGAGAGAGACACAGCGAGAGAGGGAACACAAGCAGGGGGAGTGGGAGAGGGAGAAGCAGGCTCCCCGCTGAGCAGGGAGCCCGACGCGGGACTCGATCCCAGGACCCTGGGATCATGACCTGAGCTGAAGGCAGTCGCTTAACCAACTGAGCCACCCAGGCGCCCCCATGACCCTCTTCTTGAATTGGATCCTGCCCTCTCCTCCGTGGTAACATTTTGATGCCACATCCTCTCAGTACCTATTAATTTGTTCCAGGTTCTAAAATCTTTCTAGTTGTTCTCTTATAAATGTTTGGCCTCTCCAACTACATGGTAGATCTCTAGATCAAAGGAGTGATTCAATTAGAAAGCACCAGGCCCATGACAATAAGAACAATCTTCGAGAGCTTACTCTGTTTTCAAAAGTGTTCTTGGGGGGCCTGGCTGGCTCAGCTGGTTGGGAGTCCAAATCTTGGTTTCAGCTCAGGTCGTGATCTCAGGGTCATGGGATCGAGCTACACGTCAGGCTCCTCGCTCAGGTGGGAGTCTGCTGGAGATTCTCTCTCTCCCTCTTCCCCCGCCCCTCCCCCTGCTTTCATTCTCTCTGTCTCTCTCTCTCTCAAATAAATAAATAAAATTTTTAAGTCCAGTAAACACTGAATTAGTATATCTTACATAGTTTCATGCAAAAGAAACTTTTTTATGTATTTAAAGAGTGGTTTGAAAATAAATGCTTCATTGTCTGCCTTCGGCTCAGGTCATGATCCCAGGGTCCTGGGATCAAGCCCCATGTCAGGCTCCCCCCTCAGCAAGGGAGTCTGCTTCTCCCTCTCCCTCTGCTGCTCGGCCTGCTTGCGCACTCTCTCTCTATCTCTCTCTGTTAAATACATAAATAAAATCTTAAAAAAAGAAAAGAAATGCTTAATACAGTATTATTTGAAATTCACATTAGGTATTATAAAAAATATTTCTATGACATTTTCAGCCTCCAGGACAATAAACACTACTC